AGACTTCCCATCCTGATACACTCACTACAGCTGGACCATATGTATCTTCTTTTTTTTTTTTTTTTTATTTATACAAGCACTGGGTACAGTCAGAAGCACGGGAGGGCGAGAGAATTCACCAGAGCCAGAGCGGGGAGCAGAGCAGGCAGAAGGACCGAGGTACACTGCTGAGGGGAGCAGCGGGCGGCAGGAGAGGTCTGCGCGCCATGTGGGACCCTCCTCCGGTGGCTGGGGAGCAGCCGGGGATCAAACCGGCGCCGCAGAGGCCGCGGGCAGCTTCGCAACCCAGCGCTCAACCGCTGCGCCACCGGGGAGGCCCCATATGTATCTTCTTAAACAATTCACTATCAAGAAGGATGGAAATGCCACAAATGACTTAGACCAGCGGTAAACAAACTAAAGCTCACAGACCAAATCCTACAGATGACCCGTTTCTGTTCAGCCTACAAGCTGAGAATGTTTTTGTTTGTAATTTTTTTAAAGAGTTTTATTTATTTATGCATACAAGAACTGGGGTACGGGCTGGAGGTGTGTGGGGGGTGAGAGGATTCACCAGAGACAGAGTGGGGAGCAGAACAGGCAGACTGACTGAAACACACTGCTGAGGCAGCAAGACAGGAGAGGTCTCCTCAGCAGTATATTTCAGAAGATCTGCCTGTTCTTTTTAAGATTTATTTATTTATTCATACAAGAACCGGGGTACAGACCAGATGCGTGGGAGGGTGAGAAGATTCACCAGAGACAGAGTGGGGAACAGAACAGGCAGACTGATGAAATACACTGCTGAGGGGAGCAGCGGGTGAGACAGGAGAGGTCTGCTGCGCCATGTGGGGCTCTTGCTGGGCGGCCGAGATCGAACCCACCCTGCAGAGGCTGCGGACAGCTTCACAGTGAGGGGCTCAACTGCCTGAGCCACCAAGGAAGCCCAATAAATAAATCTTAAAAAAAAAAAAAAGATATTCGTTGAACACAAGGAAACAAAAACAACAGAAACCAAAAATAAGCTGAAACAAAAATCAGGTTAATCACTTAAGCCTAATATTTCAGATGATTTCAAGGCTGTCATCATTAAAAAGATGTTAAGAATTGGTTGAGCCACTATGGAAAGCTGTGTGGAGATTCCTCAACCTGCTAAAGGTGGAACTTCCATATGATCCAGCAATTCCAATCCTAGGTATTTACCCAAAGGACACAGAACTATTAATTCAAAAGGGCACCTGCACCCCTGTGTTTGTAGTAGCACTATTTACAATAGTTAAGCTATGGAAACAACCCAAATGTCCAGAAATAGATGACTGGATCAAGAAGATGTGGTACATATACACAATGGAATATTACTCAGCAATCAAAAGAGATAAACTCATGCAATTTGCAGCAACATGGATGGAGCTGGAAGGGATTATGCTCAGTGAAATAAGCCAGAAAGAAAAAGAAAAATACTGGATGGTCTCACTCATAGCAGAAGTTTGGAAAACCTAAATAAGGGACCAGGAAAAAGACTAATTATAATAAAGTAAAAATCAAAATCAACAAGAAACTATAAACCATAGACACACTACCTGGGAGGAGGGAGTAGGAGGGATTACAGTCAAAATAAGGGGGATGGAGATTGTATGGGGACTATAACCAAGATGAAAATGCACACATTGTGAAAAAATGAAAAATGACGTAAAACATATAAAATAAAAATTAAATTAAATAAAAAAAAGAATTGGTTGAGTGTGGAAATTTGGAAATAGGGCACATTTAACAACTACTTCTAGAAAAAGCTTTGGGTGTGACTACTGAAAATGTCTGGAAGCAAATGCTTACTGAATATTCAATGAACTTAACATTAAAAATAAAACCTGAAAAACTTAACTTACAGTAGTTCAAGCCCTAAGCTATTCCCCTCCAAGAGGAATACATATCTTCTTTGATTTTGAGGGGCTATGTCCAGATAACCCCATCATAAGTTTAAAATATCATAAGTCAAAATTTATTTTTTATTTTTATTTTTTAAGGATTTATTTATTTATGCATACAAAAACTGGGGTACATGCCAGAGGTAGAGGGTGAGAGCATTCACCAGAGACGGAGTGGATATGGAATAGGCCGACTGACTGAAATACACTGCTGAGGGGAGCAATGGGGAAGACAAGAGAGGTCTGCTGCGCCATGGGGCCCGGCTGGGGATGGAACTCCTGCAGTGGCTGCTGATAGCCTCACAGTGCTGAGACTTAACCCCTTGCACTATCAGGGAGGCCCCCAAAATGCATTTAATACACCTAAATACTGAGCAGGATAGCTTAGCCTCATCCACCATAAATGTACTCAGAATACTTTATTAACTTACAGTTGGCAAAATCATCTAACACAGAGTCTATTTTATAAAAGTGTTGAGTACCTCATGTTCTTAATTAACACCATACAGATGGATGTTTTGTAGACATGATGGGATGTGAAAACACAAAACACAATATCCCAAAAACACTGGCAACACAATACCTGCAGAACATAGGTTGTTTACTCTCCTGATTGATACTGCCTAGTGTCAGGAGACAGAATGAAGTAAAAATTGACACTGCTCGGCATCAAGAAAAAGAGCAAAATAAAAAAAAAAAAGTGAACCCTGTTTTCAATGAAATCCATGTTGCTTTGGCACCATCATAAAGTCAAAAAATGCTGTCAAACGATTATAAATGTGGGATTGTCTATACTCTCTAACATCCAGTTAATTTTTACTCAGAGGATAAAACTTGGATCGTCAGAAAACAATGAACAAGGGAAATCCTTCCAAAAAGCATAAATAGGGTCTAATCAAGGAACTTACTCCACTAAGAGAGTAGTGGGAGTTCATAACTCCTTTTCAGAATGCCAACATTGCCATGCACAAATTACTGTTTAGTGTTTCCCATTCTTACTTTTTCTGATGTAATTATGGGTTACCTCATCATGCTTCTCTATTATTTTGTATTACATGTATATATACACGAGACAGATACTTTATTTTATAGTTTGTATGTCTCTGGACCATGAAAAACATATTCAAGGGTCTCCCTGGTGGCGCAGTGGTTGAGCGCTGGGTTGCGAAGCTGCCCGCAGCCTCTGCAGCGCCGGTTCGATCCCCGGCTGCTCCCCGGCCACAGGAGGAGGGTCCCACATGGCGCGCAGACCTCTCCTGCCGCCCGCTGCTCCCCTCAGCAGTGTACTTCAGTCCTTCTGCCTGCTCTGCTCCCCACTCTGGCTCTGGTGAATTCTCTCACCCTCCCGCGCTTCTCACTGTACCCAGTGCTTGTATAAATGATAAATAAATAAATAAATAAATCTTTAAAAAAAATCAGTGTGGACTTCCTTTAAAAAAAAAAAAAAAAAGAAAAGAAAAACATATTCAACCTGAAATAGAAATTGGAAAAATCCAATGGGAAATTGAACTCTCTTCTTTAGGGGTGAGTGTTTTACTATAAGAAGGATACAGTCCAATGTATTAGTGGTTAGAAGGAGACATTGTAGTAGAGATTTGCTGACCTTCCAAAACACCCCTTTCTTCTTCTTTTTTTTAAAGATTTATTTATTTATGACTACAAGAGCTGAGGTACAAGCCAGAGGTGTGAGAGGTGAGAGGATTCACCAGAGGCAGAGTGGGGAACAGAACAGGCAGATAGATCAAAGTACACTGCTGAGGGGAGCAGCTGACGGGACAGCAGGCGAGACAGGAGAGGCCTGCTCACCATATGGGTAGCTCCCTGGTTGGGACTGAACTGGGCTGCAAAAGCTGCTGTCAGCTTCACAGTGCTGCACTCAATCCCTTGCGTCACCAGGGAGGCCCATTCTTCTTCTTTTAAGGGCAAAAGGCTACCCAATTGAATACTAAAGTTCCAGTCTCATTGTTTCTAAGTATGTCATGAGCCTAATTTCTTGCCAAACAGTGTGAGATCTAAATTAATGTGGACTATCTCCACATTATTTCCTGAAAGTGTTTCCTTGTTCCGATCTTTTTCTTTCCTTTTCCCAAATAGAGGGGAACATGCTATTTGTCACATATCAAATGGCAAAAAATGCAAAAGTTTGACATCCTTTGTAGGCAAGGCTTTAGTAAGTTGCCTTGCTACATAATGGTGGTAGGAAGGCAAAATGTTTCTGACCCTACAAAGAGCAATTTGGCAATACTTAACAAAAATTAAGTACATCTATTTTTTGATTCTCTTTTTTTAGAATTTATTCTACTTCTACACATATAAAATGATGTATGCACAAGGTTATTTACTGCAGTACTGGTTGGCTGATCAAAAACAAAGTTTGTGCCCAGCAATAAGGATTAAATAAACGACAACAGCCCTTCATTATATGTGAAATTCTTCAGTCGTAAAAAACAATGAAGTTCTCTGGACTTACATGGAAGATGTCCAAGAAAAGTGAAAAAATCGAGAGCAGAATAATATGGTGTGTTAGTTTTTGTAAAAGCAAGAAAGAATAAACATTTTCATTTATTTGCAGAAAGACATTTTATAAGGCTACATAAGTAACCAGTACGATTACGTATAAAGAAAGAGTGACCATATGTTATCCAAATAGAACCGTTTCTAGAGTAAAAGGGTGTGTTATTAATAATTACGCCCAAACAGGTGGAAAATGCACGCTTCTGACAAACTGGGGTGCATGATCAATCCATACAAAGTGCAGAGAAGGAATGTGGTTTTTTAAAAATTGTATTTTACAAAAGTACCGGTCTGTGGTGAATCGGAAATAAAATTAATTCGTCCTTCAGCACAAGTAATTGAACGGTTGCCTTAAAAAATGAGCAACAGCAAAGCGTAGACGTAAAGCACGGAACTTAAGGAAAGCGCAGTAGTTTTGCTTACCGGTTATTTACTGGAGCTGCACAGAGACACACTTAAAGTTCATCCGCCAATCCGAAGTGGGAGCGTGCGAGCCTGAGCCTGTGGGAGAGGTCTAGGAAGACCTCGCACTGGAGGAGCTTCACGTCACTCAACCATGGGGGCGGACCTACAGCAGGGCCTCACACTCGGCGCTCTAGCCCATCATGACGCTACTCTGTGGCATCTCGGGTTCCCTCTGGCTGCCCTGTGGAGGACTAACTCGTTTTCTTTTTGGCTTTGAGAGGGCAGGCATCCGCGACTGAGCTGGAAGAAAGATGGCGGCAGCCGTGCGACAAGATTTGGCCCAGCTCATGAATTCGAGCGGCTCTCATAAAGATCTGGCGGGCAAGTGAGTATTTCCCAGGGACCTGGGGAGGCTTGGAGGGAAGCCACAGACTTGTTCTCCTTGGGTTGACGGCGACTTTCGGGTGTGAGGCTAGGATTCAGCCGAACGACCAAGGGGGCGGGCCTGTGGGCGCTCGTGAAGGCAAATGTTAGGAGCAGCGGAAAGCTGGAGGGGACCTTGTGCAGGGAGACCTCGAGGCCACAGACCTAGGGTGACTGTCAATCTGTTCGTGCCTTGCTAGCATCCTTACTGGTCTCTTAAGATTCTCGAAGCGCGGTCTGAGGGGCAACTGCTTCCACGGCCTTCTCAGCCTTTCCTGTGGTGTTTCTTTTTATCGCTCACACACCTATTTAATTTTTTTTTTGATCGCGGCAAATTTATGTTCAGGGACTATAATGCAAAGTTTTTCGGTGAGATGGTTTCTTTACGCCGACGGGGGCGAGGAGGAATGGCCGCTATCATGTCGTCCAGAACCAATCGGACTATCTTCTGTGGCTTCTCGTGTTTTGGGTACTCTCTCTCCACCAACTTTGAAAAAGGAAACATAGGCGAATGTTCTCATAACGTGGCCAGGACTTCAGTTATGTTTGTAGAAATATGAGTTAAGAATTTTGTCTCAGTTTATGTAGAAGGCTTAGGTCTACTCTGTTAAAATTATGACATGTGCCTGTCCTGCAGTTACTCAACAGTGTTAATTGTGGAAAGATAACTATTGTCCGTTCCCTGCGTGTAGATTTCACAGTAGTTTTGTCAAACAGGTATTCTTTTCAAAGTATGTATCTCAAATTGATCCTACTATTTACATTCTGACAACTGACATCACTTTTATCTATGTTAATGGAGATAACACCTGCTCTAACCTGACTTTTGACACGTTGGCTGTGTTTTATGTAGGCTATGCTGCCTTTTCTTTGGTGGCAAGTGTAATCTACTTTTATCATTGGGAAGTTTAGCGGTGATCTTGGGCTTAAATACTTTGTTCTGTAATTTCCACCTAAAAAAATGGGGATAATTTGAGGACTTAATACTTGTCTGAGGGCAAATGAGTACCTGTGTATAAACACTTATAGCACTAAGAACAGTATTGGACAGTTAGTGTCACAATATTGTAATTGTTAATATTATTATTAAGTCATTAGCAAATACTTACTGACTTATTCCATGGTTTGGAAGTAAGTTGAATATGTCTTCATGGCTCAATCCTTTTTGCATGTGTTTTTGGAGGAAAGTAAAAGTAGCTTATAAATTTTCTCTGTGTTTTTTTTTTTAAGGTTGATTTATTTATGCATACAAGAACTGGGGTATAAGTCAGAGGTGCGAGGTGGGGGGGTGAGAGCATTCACCAGAGAAAGCGGGGAGCAGAACAGGCAGATCTACTGAAATATACTACTGAAGGGAGCAGCGGGTGAGGCAGGAGAGGTCTGCTGTGCCATGTGGGTTGCTCCTTGGCCTCTGGTCGGGGATTGAACTTGTGCTGCAGTGGCTAGCTATAGCTTAATAGTGCTGTCTTTACCCCTGTGCCACCAGGGAGGTCCCTTCTCTGTGCTTTTTTTATTTTGTTAATGAAAAACAAGTGTATTAGTTGTCAAAAGAGATAGTTTTTTCAAGATTTGCAGGATTTTGAAACTTAACTGAAGGATTTGCTTCCTCAGTTGTGAATAGCAGATATATCTGTCTTAATAGGCTGCTATATAACAACCCCAAAGCTTAGCAGTCTAAAACAGCTATTATTTTTTAGGATTCTTTTGTTCCCCTGGGCTGTTCTACTGGTCTAATCTGGACTCACTTATGCAGATGCAGTCAGCTGGCAGTTGGGACTAGTGGGATTATATGAATTAACATACACATCTATTGGCTGGGTCTTTCTCTCCACATGGTCTCTTGCTCAGTAGTTTAGCTGAATCTTCCTCAGTGGGCTGTAGAAATGTTCCTAGAGGGTAATAATTGAAGCTGCAAGACCACTAATTTAGCTGCCGTGGATAGCTCTCATTAATTCACTAGTACTGGTCAAAGTACAATACAGGATGATTCCAAATTCACAGGGAGAGGAAATGAAGTTTACCTCTTTAGGGTAGGACTGGACAAGTTACATTGTAAAGGGGCATAGTCACATGGGGAGACATGACTCACTCTGGGGGCCCTTACTGTAACAATCTACCACACAGGGTTACTGGAAAGTTTAAATGAAACAATGTGCTTGATAACTGATAGCCAGTGCTTTCTGTGGAAAGTCTTTACCTTGCCTACAGGTACATATCTTGTCCTATCTGGACATGAAAGCCTCAGGATGTTTATTTTCATAACAAAATAGTTCTGCCAGTGACATGCTTTAGGAGAGAAAGTCTTGAAATAACAGTAGTTTTAGGGCTTATGTTGGGAGCTGAATAACAAAAGGATTAAGGAATGATGGAATAAATTTATTTCTAAAATATTAATATTATGTTTTCCCAGCATTTAGCAGGATTTATCAAAAAATATTGGTTGAATCGGTGAAAAACTAGAAAGGTACAGAGCTTATTTAAACCTAGGTTTGTCTTGGGCCTCCCCGGTGGCGCAGCGGTTGAGCGCTGGGTTGCGAAGCTGCCCGCAGCCTCTGCAGCGCTGGTTCGATCCCCGCTACTCCCCTTCCACCGGAGGAGGGTCCCACATGGCGCGCAGACCTCTCCTGCCACCCGCTGCTCCCCTCAGCAGTGTACTTCAGTCCTTCTGCCTGTTCTGCTCCCCGTTCTGGCTCTGGTGAATTCTCTCCCCCTCCCGCACTAATGACTGTACCCAATGCTTGTATAAATAAAAAATCTTTAAAAAAAACCACAAAAACCTATAGGTTTGTCATCTCTAAAAAGGTTATTTAAGCTGCCAGTCTTTACTGACTTCCTTGTCAAAACATTAATTAGAGGGCCTCGCTGGTGGGGCAAGGGGTTAAGCACCGCACTCTAAGGCAATCCACAGCCTCTGCAGCACAAGTTGATCCCTGAGTCCATCCCTGGCTGGATAGGGAGCAACACACATGGCGCAGCAGACATCTCCTGACTCGCACGCTGCTCTCCTCAGCAGTGTACTTTGGTCAATCTGCCTGTTCTGTTCCCCTCTCTGTCTCTAATGAATCCTCTCATACCCCACATCTCTGGCCTGTACCCCAGCTCTTGTGTGCATAAATAAATAAATTTTAAAAAGCAAACAATCATCAATTAGAAACTAGTTCCTGTAGCCTGCGCTAACAGTCTAAAATTGATAATAAATGACATCATGAAGTGCATTTTTGCAAAGTTTGTAGACTGCTTTTGTACATATTATGTGTGCATTTTATTCATATGTTTGCATTGTATTCATAATTATGTTCATAATTTCATATAAAACTTTAGAAGAGGAGAACCTTGAAAAGGAACATTTGAGTAGGTAGCTGTGTGGTGGCCTGTCTTACTCACTTGACTAAAACCTTGGTTTTTTGAAACTCATTTCAGATGTTGGTTCTTCAAAAAAAGCCTTTTCTGAAAAATCACCAACAAACACTTAATACCCACTCACACACACAGCTCCTGGTTAGTTGCTCTTTCTATGCCCAGTGGCATCTTGTATTTACCTCTACCATAGCACTTAATTGTTTTCATTGTTTATTTGTGTGCTTCACCCATTCAAATGTAATCTCTGAAAGTAGGTTTGAGATCATGGATTATAGGTTTTTGTTGAGTTGTATAAAAATTGTACTTTTTCCCCCCTCCCTTTTTTCCCAGTTCTGAGGTATGGAGAGTACCCAGAAGAGGATAGCAGGCATTTAGAGTCTAAACGTTTCATTTCACAAGAAGCTGTTAGCTTGGAGAAAAGAAACTTACAGGAAACCTCTTAAATGCCTTTGCCAATTAGACCTTTCTAATAATAAAGTGGAATAGAATGGAGGAAACACACGCACGCACCCACACACGGACGCGTGTGCGTATAGCCCAGTATAGAATGTATAATCTCAAAACCCCTTCATTTAGGGCCTCCCCTGGTGGCACAGCAGTTGAGCGCTGGGCTGCGAGGCTGCCAGCAGCCTCTGCAGCGCCGGTTCGTTCCCTGGCTGCTGGCAAGGGTCCCACACACAAAAAAAATAATAACAAAACCCCTTCATTTACTGTGTACCAGGTATACCTTTACTAACATTTTAAAACCCTTTGCAAGTAATGTTATTTACATGACATATGAGAAACTGGAGCACAGAGCTGAAATATCTTGCCATGTAGTTAGTGGCAAAGCCAGAATACAATCTGTCTGCCTGGCTTATAGACTTCAACTCTATTTTTTCTCTCTCTACCATTTAGCCTTATATTATTTTCACCAAACTGGACTACATTTCAGATAGTGACTTTTTGCCTAGAGGTACTTCCCCACAGGTCCCACTAAACACTAAGTTAAATATTTAAAATGTTTAAATATCAGCCTCACTAGGAAATTATTTCTCCTAAAATGTTTTGTTAGCAGGTAAGATGAAAACTTTATCTGTAATTTTCTGAACTTCCTTACAGTATACCTGTGTGGATTTATTTTTGCCTTCTATGTCATCTAGCTTTTGCTATGAAGTAAACCACATCAAGCCTTAGTGGCTTCAAACAATATTTCACTGAGAATTCTGTTATTTGGTGTTTTGGACTGGGTCCAGTAGATATTGATAGTTCTTTGCCTCAGATGGTCTTGCTTTCACATGGGCTGCCACATGTGTTTATAGTCAGTTGCAGATCAGGCAGGCAGCTCTGTTTCTGTGTGTTGACTGGGCCTGTGAAGGTGACTGGGCTACATATTTCACCATCCAGTATAGCTTAACTTGGACTTATTCTTGTTGTGGCAGCAGAGTTCTAAGAGAAAAAGACGAACGTAAGTCCTCTTGAACTCGAGGTTCAGTACAGGCACTTTGCTTTTAATAAAACAAAGTCAAAACAAAGTCAGATGTGAAACACTGCAAGTCATGCTACGAAGGAGCATGGACATAGAGAGAAAGAATTGTGGCCTTTTTCAGTAAATACTCTACT